ATAATAAAAACGGCAGGATGAAACATTTAATAATATTTCCTCAAAATTGAATCCAAACCATAGCATTGTTTGGAAAGTCCTTGAGGCTCGACTCAGGATCTGCGACATCCCCTAGTTTTCTCTCTTTAGATTCCAAAATAACTATTCTTATTCAATCTTTCCCATTTGATATTTCTTCGTTCGACCTTAGAAGCCCTAAACTTTGAAATCTTAAAGAGAACATCTCTTATTTAAATAGAGAGTTTTCTTAGGTGTCTTCGGTCATTTAAGATGTAATTAACTATAGGGGACTGCCCTTATAAGAAACTTTGAAACTATGTAATATAAAGCTTGTCTAATCTTTCATATTATATAGGAAAACTTGTCGGTCAACAAAATGGTTTCGCAGACCAAACGGATGTTATGAATTCATTAGTTTGTTTAATTGAGCCCCATTATCTAGTAATGTGTTTGTTCTTTAGGATAGGTGCATTGCTAGTGTTATTGTGCTTGTTTATTTAAATTATTAAATAATATATATATAAAGCAACCAACAACTTTCCCATGTTTAATGCTGACAAACAAGAGTCCAACAAGTCCATCATTTAATTTATGGATTATTAAAAAAAAACATACTTGGTTGATGAAATACGTGACTCTTAGAAATCATAAGATCACATTTTCTATACAGTAAATTTAAAAAACTAGAGTTTTCTATGATTATCGACACCATCCCTAAATCATTATTAAATGACCATCATTATGAACCTCCATTTCTTTTTCATAACATCTATTGTAGTACCCAACTTTATAATTTATTATTTCGTAATTGCAGAGAAGAGCAAATTTTTTTGATTCCTTATTAGTAAATTTGGGAGTCCCCTGAATTCGTAACTAGAGAGAAGAGCAAATTTATCTTTTTAGTAAATTAATCATTGTGTGAGTTACGCGATGTATAGTCTGAATACAATGAAAGTGTGAAAGAGTCGTTGCACCGGTGTTCGGGTTAGTGTCAAATAAGCAAAATTTCTCACGTTACGGACGAATGCGGGTAAAGAAGTTAGTCCATGAAACTAATATTAGGATAGGATCTTGGAATCTATGTACTCTTACTGGTAAACTAATGGAATTAGTTGGTATTATGTTTCATAGAAAGATAAATATCTTATGTGTTCAAGAAACTAAATAGGTTGGAGAAAAGGTTAAGGAGATTGATAACTTAGGTTTAAACTTTGGTATTCAAGTAAGAGTGCACTAGATATGGGATAGGTGTAATTATAGATATCAGTTCAACTAGATATGGGATAGGTGTAATTATAGATATCAGTTTAAAAGATAATGTTGTAAAAATTAATAAAGTCGGAGAAAGAATTATAGCCCTTAAGATTATTGTTAATACTAAGATTTTTATTATTATAAGTGTTTGTGCTCCTCAATTAGGTTTAGATATAGGTTCTAAAGATAAATTTTGGGACTTAGAAGACTTAATACAAATGATACCTTTCGAATAAATAATTTTCATTAGAGAATATTTAAATGGACATTTCAGTAGATTGGTAGAAAATTTTAGAAATATTCATGGTGACTACGGTTTTTGGAGTGATTAATGAAGAAAACAGAGCTATATTAGATTTTTCTTTAGCGTATGATTTTGTTATTGCTAATACTTTTTTCAAGAAAAGAGATAAGCATATTATTATTTATAAGAATGGATCAAATAAAACACAAATTAACTATTTTCTTATGAGAAGAAGAGATCGTCGAGAATGTAATGATTGTAAGGTCATTCCAAGTAAGGATTTAAGTACTCAACATAAATTATTAGTTCTGGATTTTAAGATGAAGAATTGTAAAATAATGAATATTAGGATTCATCGTCGTAGAATTAGATGGGGTACCTAAAAGACACAAATGAAATTATTTTTATGAGTAAAATTCAATATTTCAAAATTTGGGATGTTCATAAAGAAGCAAATTCTACATGGGATAAAGTAACAAAACTATTAAATAAGTGGCAAAAATTGTACTTGGAGTATCAAAAGAAAAAAATTTTATAAATAAAAATAGTTGGTAGTGGAATAATAACATGCAAGAAAATATAAAATATAAGAAGGTGTGTTATAAAAATTGGTTTGACCAAGAGTGAAAAGTCTGTGCGTCCCGATAATAGTCATATTGAAGATTAGATACTAAGGAGGGTGAAAAATATATTAAAAAAACTAGCCAAACAAAGAGAAAAGAAAAGTAAAGATTTAACTCAAGTAAAGTGTATTAAAGATGAAAATCTAGAAGTGCTTTTCTTAGAAAATGATATTAAAAATTGGTGGGTGAGTTATTTTGATAAACTTTTTACTGAAGTTTTGAAAAATACAATCAACCTTAGTGATCTTAATATCATTAACAATAATAAAATATTTCATTTTTGTCGTCGTATTTGTAAAAATGAAGTTGAGAAGGCTTTAAAGAAAACCAAGGGTGAAAAGTGTGTAAGACTTGATGATATACCAATTGAGGTGTGGAAATATTTAGGAGATTTGGGTGTTTTTTGGCTTACTAAACTCTTTAATATTATTTTAAAAACTAAAAAGATGCCTGAGGAGTGGAGGAAGAGTATTTTGGCCCCCATTTTTAAGTATAAAGGGGATGCACAAGAATGTGCCAATTATAGAGGAATTAAGTTGGTGTCTCATACTTTAAAATTATGGGAGGGGGTAATTGAACATAGGTTAAGACGTATTACTAAGATTTATCATAATTAATTTGGATTTATTCCGAGCAGGTCTACTATGGAAGCTATACGTTTATTGAGAGGTTAGATGGAGAAGCTCAAAGATAAAAAGGAGGATCTACATATGATTTTTATTAATTTAGAAAAAGCTTACGATAAGGTTCCAAGAGATATGCTTTAGAGAGTTCTTTAGAAGAAAGGTGTTGATATGACTTATATTCAAGTCATTAAAGATATGTATACAAGAACTGTTAGTTGTGTTTTAACAGAAGGAGGATTGACCAAATATTTTCCAATTTTTGTTGGTTTACATCAGGGATCGGCTTTAAGCCCATATCTTTTTGCTTTAGTTATGGATGGTCTTACTGGACACTTATAGAAGGATGTAATTTGGTGTTTGCTATTTGCTAATGATATCCTTCTCCTTCTGTGGATAAGACGAGACAAAAAGCTCAAGAAAAACTTGAATTATGGAGATCTATCTTAGAGTCTAAAGGCCTTCATTTGAGTAGAACTAAAGCTGAATACATGGAATGTAATTTTAGTAGTAGTAGATCTAGTGACAAAAATGTAACTTTGAGTGATCAAATCATTAAAAGTTGTGAATGCTTTAGATATCTCGGGTCTATTGTTCAAAGTGATGGTGATATTGATGGGGATGTTATTAGTAGAATTCAAGTTGATTGGTTGAAGTGGAGGAATGCTTCGGGCCTATTGTGTGATAGGAAAATACCACTTAGACTGAAAGGAAAATTTTATAAGATGGTGGTGAGACCTACAATGCTATATGGAGTTTAATGCTGGTCTTTAAAAAAAAAAGCATAAAACTAAGTTAAGTGTTGCAGAGATGAGAATGATTAGATGGATGAGTGGCTTTACACTTAGAGACAAAATGTGAAATGAATATATCTGTGATAGGGTTAGTGTAGCTCTAGTGATAGACAAAAATGGAGAGAGTCGTCTCAGATGGTTTGGTCACATTAAAATCGACTTTCTGATGATCTGATTAGAAGAGTAGATGTTTTAGATTTGACTTATGCAAAGAAAGGCAGAGGTAGACCTAGGATGACTTGGACATATTGTATAAAAAATGATCTTAATTTATTAGAATTAAATGAAAATATGACACTGAATAGGACGCAATGGAGAAAAAAGTATTCATGTAGCCGAGCCAGCTTAGTGGGATAAAGGTTTTGTTGTTGTTGTTGTTATTAGTCAATCATTTCAACTAGTTCATATCTTATAATCAGATCATGTAATATTTTTATATTTTAATATTTTTCAATAAAAACTTTGGTGTCTGGATTTTTATCTATTTATCTTTATATGTGCGAGGTCTTCATAGAAAACTAAAATTTAAAACTTTTTATAGACCATTTGTGGTACTGGTTTCATTAATATAAAACACGTAAATATTTTGGCAGAATTACATACAAAACACTCAAATTTTGATTATTTATAAAACTAGCACGTCATTTTTGAACCATCAATTCCCAATATTTACACTTATCATGAGCAAATCATTGGAAATTTGAAGCAAAAACATGTGAGTTGGAGCTTTGTTGTGAGCTTCAATATTTGGGTAAAATTTCAAAAAACATAAGAGTTACAAAGGGTGTGTTTACTAAGTAGCCAAAATTCAAATGTTTTGTATGTTTCTACCCCTACATGTGGAAAAATTTTAACCAAAATTTTAGTTGAAAACTCACAAAAGTTCAATTTGTCCTCGACAAAACAATGTTAAGATTAAAACCAAAACACATATCAATCTTTTTGGACAATCCCATGCCAGTGAATAAAATTACGAATGCTTTTCAGCTTGAATAGCTGATCCCATCTAACAAATAACCAATTTATGTCAAATGCAGTATGTTATGGGTTTTGACGGAAAAATAAAACATTCATAGGTATAACAACGTTCATCCATTTCAAATCTTACCAATAAATTGTTTCAGGCAATGACTTCAAAGATCTTGAGCGTCAACCTCAATTATCAAGTAAGCATATAAAACTACAACTCTTGAAATCCAACAAAGAATATAATGTCACGATATGCTTTCCAAAGCGTAAAGATTAAATTTTTAGGGTACGTTTAGGAAACACAAAGCAAATAGAAAGCTGTCCAGAACAGACCCTTAATTTATTAGAAATTTTGGAACGATGATAAGGGCCTAACAACACATAACAAGCTACAACAGAAGCTAATGATAAATTTAAAGTGCAACTATGAAAAAATTATGACCAATGATTATTGAATCTCAAAGACATTCAGGTTTAATGAGCAGTAGAATTTGATATTTTACTTGCTGCAAAGGCAACATATGAACATGCAAGGCATCAAGAGAAGTCTTTCTAAACATATACATGAATTTATTTTTCTTCCATAAGCATGGCAGACAATTTTCTTCTGCAAAAATGATATCAATCTATCAATTCAATGATAAACAATGGTCATTTACTATCTGCTTTTGGATTTGAAAAAAAAAATCCAAAAAACTCACAAGTTCTTCTATATTAATCTCCATTGCTCATAAACTCGTTATGAATCATCATCGTCCATAACTCCCCTTGCCACAGCCTTGAATTTTTCATCTTTACAGCGCCTCTGATCTCTTATCATAGATTCAAACACTTCTAAAAGTTCATCCAAACCCTCCATGTCGTTTCCCAACCCCTTGAGAGCACAAACAATGCTCTCTATTGTAGATAAGAACCCAGCCTTTGGCTGATGCCTCACTTCACTGTACAAGCTCTCCTTCCTCTGATTCAACTTCAGATGAGGCAAAAGCTTCAACCATGGATTCTCATAGTACATCCGTCTTGCCTTCGCCCAAGTGCCATCCAACACAATCAGATGCTTCACCTCATGATCCAACTCTGTGAGCTCAACAGCACTGGAACTGGGGAAGAGGAGGACTGATCCCTGAGGAATAAGAAGATTATACTCTTCAAAGTCTTCGAACTCTTCACTGTTTTGCAACTTCTTTTTTCTCTGCAACTTCTTAACCATGAAACCATTTGAAACAGCAGCTCTCCCAACTGGATAGTTCAGAATCCAGCCAATATCAGGCTTTGCTGTTCTTTCCATCGCCACAAAGATATATTTAGAAGAGTAGGTGACTGTATGCTTAGTGAAGCTCCTCGTAACCTCATCATCTATCGCAGTGCAGCGAATCTGATTATAACCGTTAGAAACGCTGGAAATAGATTGTGAAAGATTGGATTTTTTCTCCGATTCTGGAATTATTGAGCAGGAACGTGATCTGTCGGACTGAAACTGGTCAATAGCAGAAGTGTTTGGAGTTGACGCATCTGAATTAAGACAAATGCCGGAAGTTCTCGAAGAAAAACCCAATCTTTCATCCAAAACCAGAATCTCATTGCGATTTCCGGCGACATGAGAAAAAATGTGATCTTGACTCGGTTCCAGAGGGTGAATGAGGAACTGTGCTCGGAAGACAACATCGGTGACGGAGTTCACGGAGAAGTTTTTAAGGCCGAGTCTGGCAACTCTGGCGGAATTCAGAGGATGAGTTTTCTCGAGGCTGTGCTGAAGGATTGTGACGGCGATGGAATTGTCTAGCGGCGGCGAATTGAGCCGGTCGCAAAGGCAGGTGCGGGCCGGCTTCGAGCAGCGGTGGCAGAAGGGTCTTCGAGCAGTGCCCTCGCTTCCCATGGATTAAGAATGGGAAGATTGGAGCTATGGATTGGTTTGGGAAAGATGAGAGGGAGAAGGCGGCGGCGGTTGAATGCGGTTGGAGAACTGGACGACATTTATTGGTTTTTATAAGCATGGAGGATGTAAACCCTAAAACCCTGATTTTGAAGGCGTAACTGCCGGGAGAAGAGGACGAGGGTGGATCGTTGCCGTTCAATTTGATTAATTTACTTACTAAAATAAGCCTTAAGGGACAAAATAATTAGTATGGTTAAGCAATTTATTTTCTAAACATAAGAGCTCATAAATAAGTTATTTGTTGAACTTGTAAAAATGAAAGAGCTTTTAAATAATTAAGCTATTAAATAAATAATTGAAATAAACATATAAATATGCAAAGTAAATGAACAATAGAGCAAATAAGCTTTATCTAGTTTTATGTACTATAATTTAAAATTTAATTTAATTGATTATAAATTAATTTTAAATTATGTTTTAATTGAGCCTGTTCACAAGCTTAAATTAAGTTTTAACTTATTTTATTCATAAGTATTAAATCAATCTAATTTAGGAACTTTAACTGAAATAATTTCATGGAGCTTCTTAACAAGTTTGTTCGTCATTTTTAAATGATATTATTCATGAACATAAACAAATGAAACAATAAGTTATTTAAGTTTTTTGTTTAACAACCAAGCATTTATAAATGTTCAAATTTGTTCAATTGGTTAATCAAATGAACATGAATGAGCTCTTATCAAGTTGGGTTATGAATAGCTTGTAAAACGCTCGGTTCAATTGCAGCCCTATTCTCATTTTTTTTTCCTCTATTTTTTTCATTTATTTTATAATTCCAAGATTAATTTTAATATATATAT